CTACGGGTAAAACATGCGAGTTATTATAGAGTCGTAGCAGAGGGTTCCGATTGGACAAAATTTGATGATGTTGCGTCAATGTGTTATCTTGACAACCAAGCAAATGTAATGGTGAATATCAGCCAATGACTTTGATTTTTGTGCACCAGCAGTTCAAAGGTGGAGCAAGCATATACCTGATTCGATATTATTACTCATCACGATCTCTACCAACCTACCCTCAAATGTAATTATATGCCAAAAGTAGCGCCGTCGTTTTGTGCAAGTTGCGTGTCGATCCGTACAGCAATGGCCGAGATATCGGCATGACAGATGGACAGACAAATGGTTTTTCTTCTTTATACAGCCGCCCTTTCAGCCGTGGGACGTTATAATATGAAGATCAATCCCACTATTCGTTGGTAAAAGAGTAGCCCAAGAGATGGCGGTGGGTGGTGATGACTAGCTGCCTTCCCTCTAGTCTTACACTGCTAAATTAGGGACGGCTAACGCAAATAGCCCTCGTGTAGCTTTGAGCGAAATTCAAACAAACATATTCTTTATATAGTAGATTTCTTTTGTGCAACATTTAAAAATTAAATATGAGGAACAATTAATTAATTGCATGAAACCAAAATAAGTCAAAAGTCTATAATCATGATTCACTTTACTTATAACGTTTCACACACACACACACACACATATATATATATATATATATGTTAGTAGTATCGGGTCACTTCTGTGTCAAAAAAGTGCTGCCTCGGAGGGGAGATCGTCACCTTAGTGGAGATCAAAGGATGCCGTCAGAATGTTACACAACTATTATGTAATACGTAAAGGATGTCGACACTTTAGAGTTACGTAATAGGCGCGGCTGTTTTAGGGGAGGGGCGATGACGTCCTAGTTTCACAATCTGACACCAGAGGGCGTCTTAGGTGAAGGGGTGACATAATACTTCCACAGTGAGGCGCCAGAAGGAGTGTTTCTAAGTAACGTCACAAGCAAACCATTAAATGATATCTCAACATATGATTAAATCATCAACATTGTAGTTTTTCACTCCTATATTTAATTATATGTCCTAAAAAGCTATTTGATACTTTAAGTAAAACTAATAGTTGAATGAGACAATGAATATAACTAATTGTGTTTTCATTTGATAATTAATTTGCATGTATCATAAAAGTTTTGAAAGATTTAAAAGTAAAACCACCATTTAAATGAAACAACTAAAATAACATAGCTGATAATTTGTATTACCTATGTCATGTTAACAGGTTTTTTATCACAAATACTATCTTAATTTATAAGCAAATCTATTATTTGAACGAAGCAAATATTATAGAATAGCCAATAATTTGCATTGCATGCTTTTACAATCGCCCCACAGTGGCACAGTGATATTTCTGCGGACTTACAACGCTAGAAACCGGGTTTCGATAACTGTGGTGGGCAGAGCTCAAATAGCCTATTGTGTAGCTTTGTGCTTAACTTCAAACAAACTTTTACAATTTTCTGTCACTTTATTTATTAAACACTTATTAATATCCCTAAGCCATTAGTTCTATATTTTTCACTTTTCTAATTGATATATCATATAACATACATTTGTATGTCCTAAAAAAGTTTTAATATTTATCCTACCTAATGTTTCGTTTTTATAAATAAAATCATTATTTGAGCGTGACAGTTACGTTAATTTTCTATAGCCAATTGTGTTTTTTATTATTTAAGTGTTAATTTAGTGCACATTTATCAAAATTAGTCTGTGATTATAATTTTTGCTTCTATATTTAATTTGCATGCTATACTTTTTGCATTTTCTGACTTTCATCTGTGAAAAATGTATCAGTATCGCTCATTTATTTGTTCTATAGTTTGCATTTCTATAATTAATATGTTGTATAACACACTTTTACATCTATTCATCCTGAAAAGGACGTTTATTTAAATCTCTAAATAATTTATAATATAAAATCATTCAAATTTCATGTTTAGTTTCATAAGTTAATCTATATAACTGTTCCACTAAAGTCTAGGTTTAAAGGATCTACCTAAATAGTTATGTTTAACCATTACTATTGTAAAAATTAAAATTGACGTTTTTACCTTTCTGTGGATATTTTCACAAATCCTTAGGCACATGCTGACAGATCTCTATTAAAACTAATAGTATTTATTCTTTTATCTGAGATTAACATTGAAAATATGCTATGAAAAAATCATATATACAAACTCCAAACAGTGTAGATGAAGCTAATTTCTCACGTGTTAAAACATGTTACATGTTCTTTGGTCTAAAGCTGAAACTCCAGTCAGCATCAACTGACATCAACTTTTGGTACACCAACATTTTACTATAAGAAATTGGCTTATAGGATTCAAAGTTCAATATGGCAGAAAAGAAAATTTTAATGAATAAAAAAGTTGAACAAGATATTTGAAATACGGAGTATTACATTATACATATAATATTCAAACTGTTTTAACATAAATTGTTCAAATCTACATAAATTCAAAATAGTAGATTATAATTTTATAAAATATATTTTTATAATACATAAATATATATATAAATACACAAGTGGAAAAATATTTTAAAACAACTGAAAGTGTAGGAATTGGTACAACAAAACGTGGGAAAACAAGATAGGAATGGGCATGATGTAATAAAAATTAATCTGTACAACATCAAGAGGACGTGTCCAATGTTTTGTCCATGCCTACTTCGTTTAGTTTTCCTATTCTGTATACAATAAGACACGTGAACTAAATTTATCATATTTAGTTATGCTTATCATACAATGAATAGAGGTTTCGGTTAATCGAGTTATTTGAGGCAATACATGTATTGTAAAATCTGTTTATATGGCACCAGAAGAATAAGATATTCATGTGGACCCATAACTTGTATGTTGCTGCTTTTTACAACTTGTCCCTCCTTTTGCAATTGCATAACAATATATTTCAATGTATCGATGTCATGGATTTATTATTGTCTATATAAAAGTAGAAGAATCATAGACACAATTTTGTATGTACCCAAAAGTTGTATAATATCTTGAACATAGAAAAACGAAGCAGGCATTGACTGGGTGTTGGACACGCCCCCTTGTGAGGTTGTAAAGAGGAAATTTCATTGCACCATGACTATTCCTACCTTGTTTCCTCACTTTTTGGTGCACTCATTCCTACACTTTCAGTTTTTAAATATTTTTTCCACTTCTTCCTGCACTTTTTCATACAAGGTGACATGATCTTATGTATAATTCATTCATTTTTGTTGATATCCTGTATGTATATCATCATTGTGGGTGTGTACCATATCTGCAAATAATGGTGTACGTGTATGTGTGTGGTGTGCATTCTCTTCACTTATTATGAGTGTATACATTGTGAGTGCGCATGTGTGCTGTGTATGTGATGGCATACACACTATAGTGTGCAGTGTCATTTGGGTGCTGTAATGTGGGTTGTGGTTGTGTGCATATACTAAGGGTTGATCAATTAGTTAATTAATTTAATTAACTGCTTCATGCTAGCACTAGCACGTGGTGCCTGTGTTATTTTTCTATTTGGTTTACTTATAACTATGGTAAGCCTGTTTGTTACACAGCTGGGAGCATTCAACAATATCAACTAGTGAAATTGAGAAATTTGTAGTTTTGTCAATTTTTTATATCGTCTCTGCTGACTTTCTCAAGTGGTTCTATGACTTGTAATTTCGTATATGGTTTTTAATCACCTAAGAGTGTCTCTCAAATACTTTTGAAGATTTATTATTTGATTGTTAAAGGTGTACATGAGTAAATAATTTGTATTGCATGTATTGTGTATCTGCCCCATTCCTACTATAAGTATTACTGTACTTATGATAATTAGTAAAAGACAGCAGCGTTATTTATTAGGATAATAAATATGATTGAAAATAAACATTACTTTACAAAAGAAAGACAGAAAAAATAATAGATTTACAAGTAAAGAAATATCGGTTACAATCCTGCATGAATCCTTCCTTGGTTAGTATAACAGCATGTGTATTCAATCATTGGTCATAACTACTCATGACAAATAAAGACAGTGAAAATTATGAATACATTGTCAATCTGTCCAATAACACTGAATTCATAGAATTGCCTTTATTTCAAATTATTTGCTCTATTTAGTAAAACTGATACAGCATTTATTTGCTATTGAACTCTGCAAAATACAAGAATTGTATACAAACTTTTTCGTTTATGAACTATGCTAATTCGTGTGTTGATTACCTGAACTAATAAGTTTAAATGTTATAATTCCTAAGTGTACATAAAGTGAAGTTTGAAAGTTTAAAAAAGATACAGAAATAGAATTTCTGATTGGTGAACAAAGATTTAAACTAATATATGTTGGAATCATTATTAAGTGCACTATTAATAAAGTAAAATTATAATCTACTATTTTGAATTTATGTAAATTAGACAAATTTATATTAAAATAGTTTTAATATTGCATATAAAATAAACATACTCTGTATTTCAAATATCTTGTTTAACTTTTGTTATCATAACAAAAATATTTTCTGCTATATGTCACCTAGAAACGCTCCCTCTAGTACTGCTTCGTGGAACTGTGACATCATTACTCTTCCCCTAAGACAGCCGCGCCTATTTCGTGACCCTCATGTTTTTGCATATTGCGTAACAGTTATGTAACCTTGAATGTCAGCATCATTTATTTGTTACGTAAGAGTTATGTAACTCTCAGGTGTTGGCATCCTTCGTATATAACATAATATTTATGTAAACCTTAGGCGACATTCTTTGATCTCCACTTACCTGACGACATCCCTCCCTCACCCACCTCCACTGAGACGGCATCCTTATGACACAGGGTACCGCGCTAAATGCTTATTTTCCAAGAGCATTAAATTCTTACGCGATTTGATTTCAGCAACTTCTTGATATAGGTCAGTGGAGCATAATTTTAAAGATTTTTAATATCTAATGTTTAAATTGTTTTCGTATCATCAACATACCTGGGCTAAATCGGCTCGTTCGGGGCCTGACAAGTAACGCTGAAGATTGAATCTTCTTTCTAACTCAAAGACTTGGGCGTGGGAGAAGGCGGCTCGCGAACGCTTCTTACGAGGCTTGGGATGCTCTGGTTGGCGATCCTGAGACTGTGTAGGTGTTTGCACATCGTCTTCATTGGTCGATCCTGCAATAGAAAAGTGTTTTGATACCAAAGTTGATTATGTTTCAAGTATTATATTATCACCTTTATTACTTATTACTTCTGCCAAAAAAAAGTGTCTAGTGTCAATAACTATGATTTTTCTTACTTATAAAACTACTCCTATAACAATTGATTTTATCATACAATACTCATTATACTTACGGACCCCCCAGTGGCACAGCGGCATGTCTGCAGACTTCCAACGCTAGAAACCGGGTTTCGATACCCGTGGTGGGCAGAGCACAGATAGCCCATTGTGTAGCTTTGTGCTTAACTTCAAACAAACAAATATAGTTACGGAGTACATATTCAAACGATAATGTATATTTATGTATATACTTCTAGAGAGATTTGTTACATTACATTGTATAATCTGTAAATCTCTTTCTGCGTACACTGTTGCAGTTGAGATATACTTGAACAAGTATTTACAGTTGAGAACGTGTATTCATCCATTATCACTGATCGGGTATCGTTGGTGTTTTCCACCCATCTGTACTCTAACCCAGAATAGTTTTACCGTACTGTTAGATAATGTAGTTCCTACATTTTTTAAAATACATAAATATTATTTATTTTCTGAATAGTTGAAGGCTCTTTTTACATTTCTCCATCTCTTCTGTTCAAACGTAAAACTGATTATACACAAAATTAAACAAAACAGCTAAGAAGCCTTTCTAGTTTATTTATAACTTACCATGCGAAACATACAATGCTTTATAAATTTGTGTGGCAAAGTACTAAATCATTATGCTAATTTTAAACAAAAATGTATTGAAAAGATACCATTGGTTACGGGTATGTTAGTATCATAGTTAAAATTATTTTGTGTTTATAAACCACCCATAATTTCTACGTTTGTCGAACAACTAACCTCCACTCCCTCAACTTCGCTAATTGTAGATATTTATTTGTTACTAAAACCACCTTGAATTCTTTTTTCATTTGTAAGATTTCCAACCTCTACTCTTAGCCAATTATTTAAAAAATAATAATAACTATAAAACCTTTACCTAAGTATTTCAGTAATAATTGAGCAACCATCCTCCTCCTTAAACAACATCATTCAAGATGAAATTTTAGTTGAATGGACGGCAACTGCCTGCTGTAGAAACACGAGTGCAAAGGATGACGTTTTGAAAGTCTTCCGCCTGTTGAAACGTCGTATCTACACATGTGTTTCTACAACAGGCAGTTGCCGTCCATTCAACTAAATTTCATTATGAATACTCTCCTTAAACAAACTATCAAAGAACGTCATTCATGTATGAGCCGAGCTAGCTGAAATAATCTTAACTGTTTAAAGTTGGCCCATTATACTGAATGAGCCACCAATTAAATGATAAAATAAGATTTAAACTAGCATTTATAGTATTAGGTTGTCCTTCAAATACTAGCGTCCTTATGAGACTGCAGACGGTGAGCGGTAGTTGGTTTATGGGATTTTGTGGATTAAAGCACCAAATACCTAAACCGTATTTGATATCCCTTGCTTTTGGGAGCTATTACCACTTACATGTTCATTTTGAAATTATATGTTTTTTACTTTTTTTACTGATAAATGGAATAATTTTTCGTTTTCTTGTTTAGAGCGTGTTACTAGCGCAATAGTGGACTTATTTTATTTGGATTTTTTTTATTGATGATTATTATAATTCTGAATTTTGTTGTGAACGACAGTTGTAGTTTTGAGTTTCACACTTGATGTTTTGGATTCTACATTTGTTCATTAATTTAATAAAGTGCTGAAGTTATCACCATTGACTGCAATACTTAAACAATTCGTGTTGCTCTAGTTAACATCCTTTGTTTGAAAAATTCAACATACTGGATGTAATTGAACACATTATGTTAAAAACCAGAACAATCTCTGAGTTAAGTACCAGTTATATTATCAAGGGATTTATTTTTCTAATTCCACCAAAGAAAACTTGTAACTGAAACGACTATGCTCAGGTTCTTAAGCCCAATGCATTCACTTAATATATACAACTTCTATAACAGCATGAAATCAAATGCAACTTCGAGAAAATGTGACATAGTAAATAAAACACCCTTAGAATTGTGAAGATTGAAGTTTTTGTACTTCTTATAAGCAAAAGGTTATAAGATTGTGGTCCCCCACTGGGACAGCGGTAAGTCTACGGATTTACAACGCTAAAATCTGGGGTTCGATTCCCCTCGGTGGACACAGCAGATATCCCGATGTGGCTTTGCTATAAAAAAAAAAACACAAACAAATAAGATTTTGACAATCCTGCATAACAGCACAATATTGACAACCTAATGCTTTAGAATGTTTCAGATGTGGCTTTTAAAGGTTTAGAAATAGCTATTTGTTTCTGCGCTTGGTTATGGTTCACTTTAAATTTACATCTGTATCATTGATCCCGGTGGGTCAGCGGTATTTTTACGAACTTTCAATGCTAAAACATGGGTTTCGATTCCTCGCGGTGTATAGAGTTTAGATAGCCCAACAACAATGATTTAGAAGAAGTTCAAACTTTAGGATATAAATATATTTCGGGTACTATGTAAATGAAATACTGCCATTGTCAGACATATGATTTATTGTTTAACACCTGTCAGTAATGTTTTATTTTAGATGAAAAAAAAAATGTGTCGAAAAGTAATAATAATATAACAGATACCGTTTTGTTTCCCCCTAATCATCCCACAACAAAGTATCTATTAGCTTTTTTTTTCGACTGTTGCTAAAATATATACACAATCAAGTCTTTTACAGTTAAGGAGATATATGAACAGACAATTGTTAGCCTAGCTTACCGTCGTGATAAGCCAAATTCGACCTCCTGCAGGCTTAACTTATATATCACAAGTTCTTTGAGTGTATGTAAATAGTTGTCTTTGTGGCAAAATACTGTACTGATAGAACTTTTAGAACTGCATAACTATAGAGTTATACGTTCAGAACAATGACACTGAATTTGGCCACAAATGTTTACTATATGCACCAAAAGAATCCGGGTACCGAGTAAAGAATATCACATCTCTCTCGTCCCAGTTTTGTGCTTTTTAAACTAAACTTGTAATACCTTTGCTTACGAAATTCAAACGGGATAAGTAACATTTCTAGTATGAAAGTATTTAGTAGCAAAGAAGTATAAGAACATATAACTATTTATTATGAATGAAACAATTAAAGCTGTTATAAACTTAAAGAAAAGCTTGAATTACTTTCTTAAAATATAATATCAAAAGATTCTCCATACGCTTGTACAATTTGGGATAAGTAAGGGGACCAACGCTTGACAAATTGTCCATGTGGTAATCGTAGTTTATCAATCCTTATACGAGCTCGTATTCCTTCCCGTGCATACTTAAAAATAACACTTATAGGTTCTACATAATTATCATATAACCCTTTACATTTGAAGACCAAATTTTGGCCTTCAATTCACTTAAAACAGAAATAAAAGAGAAACGTAAATATCTTTTAACTGGTAAAGTCCTCATAGAAAACACTTTTGCAATGCGTTCCCAGATAGGCTTAATTCTTTAACACTCATATGTGTTCGACAGTTTCCGGAATGTATCTCATGAGCATTAAATGTTTTGTTTGTTTGTTTGCTATTAAACACAAAGCTATACAATGAGCTATCTGTGCTGTGCCCACCATGAATATCGAAACCCTGTTTCAGCGTTATGAGTCTACAGACTTACCGCTGAGTCACAGGGGGACAACATGAAATGGACTGATGCTGTAACAAATACATATCACTAATATCGCCAGCTTCCAACAACGGAAAACTAAACATTTTCCGGCATGTGCAAGTCCACTGATTGAGGCGACAACGTTCTTGTGTGCTCATTTCATGACAGAAAGTTTCTATTTCTTCAAAGTTCCTGTGCCATCATCTAAATGTGTTATTCGATGAACTTCATGCATGAAAGTCTTGCAGGAGTTAGTACTGCACGAAAACAACAGATTTAAACCCTCATAATGTTTGTACTCTCTGTTGACGAAACCTTGAATTTTAATTTCGGTACAAATTAGCGAGATGGCATTGAAATTGAGGAGTTTAAGCCAATATGTTTGACATGTACATTATCACATGTCTTTATAATTCTTCGTTTAAAATCTTTTGCATTTAAAAATGATTACAACATTTGTGGACAACATATGTCCAATATAGCTTTATTATTGCTTCACACAACCATATAATATTGAATATACAGGAAGCGTAAAAGTGTTATGCATTATAGAGTATTATTTTATATAATAACAATTTTCCACAAGACATCAACAAAACATATTTCATTCTAGAATATATTTTAAAGTCGTTGTTTTTTAATTAACTTATGAAATTGTCCGGAGTTTGTAAAAGTATTAATGTAAAAAAAAAAACAAAAAACTTGTGATAAAATATTTTGTATCTAACAATTGATATACAATTTAGATTTAGATTTTGTCAAAGATTAGTTAATTACGACATTTAATTTGTGCATTAAGCTAGTTTATACAATGAATACTTACCCAATTTCTCCTTTGAACTATTTAAAACTGTTTCAGGACACTTCATAAACATCTCTTTACGTTCGTTATTTATCATGGACTCTTCTGAGTCAATGGAATCTTTTTGATGATTTTTCATGATTTTCCTTGAGCTTGTGCCCTCACCAAGAAAGCCATCTGAAACATTACAATAGAGGTCTGTTATACTGAAGCAAGAAGTTTCTGTTTCCAGCAGACTTGAACCTGGGATGCTTAGAAGATTGGTGTTTTCTTCGGTAGAAAGTTTAGTACTTGTTATGTTCCTGTCAATAGGAAGCTTAGAACCTGTAAGGCGATTAGAGGCAGCTTCTTGGTAGTTCACAAGTTTGTCGAAAAATGTGGGATGAGAAAGAGCTTTGGTCGACACATTAGGGTACAAATTAGAGGTGATCGTGGATGATACTGACGTCGTCTTTGTTTCTGAACGAATGAGTTTGGGCCTAGTTTTTGTTAAAATATTTGAAATTGAAAATGAAGTAATCGATGTCTGTGTTGATTTAATTCTATGTTCCATTTTCTATTCAGTTTATAAATTAAGTTACAACAAAGCTACAATTATTCTTACAACCTTTTTACTTGCTAATTTTACAATATTTAGAATTAGGAGCAGGTAAAAAGTGAAACTGTTACACACATCTGCAGTGTTCACTTTCAAGGCGACGGTCGTGATTAAATTGTATTATGTCGGTCGCAGGCTGCTTACATACACCGCGTTGGTAACAGATCCTCACAAGTTGGTTATTTAGAGATAATAACAAATTATCGTCATGGGTTGAGTGTTGCTACAACTGGTAGAAAATATTACCAACTACTCGACCTAAGTTTATAGTGTTGTTACAACATTTAGGGATGATATTCAACTCGCCGTGTGAATGAACAGTGTTGCTACAATCTGTAGGGATTATCACCAACTGGTCGTCGTGTTACTACAAATTTTAGATGTTATCACCTACTGGCTGTCGGGAGTTGACAGTATCGCTGTACCCTTTAGATAATATCACCATCTCATTGTTGTCAGTTGATAGTGTTACTATAACCTATGCAGATTATCACCAACTGGTTACAACTTTTATATATTATCATCATCTTCCATCGTGAGTTGACCGTATTGCCACAACTTTTAGATATTATCACAAACTGCCGTCGTGAGTTGTATTTGTTGCCACAACCTTCAAAGAATGATACCAGCTGGTTAATCTGCTTTCTGGTTGTAACTGTAATATTTAGGCTCTATCACTAAATCACTTTACAGGTGATGTGGCTGTGTTTTTCGACAGTATCAATAACCGATCTTTAAAAACTATCGCCAGCTGTTTTACTAGAGTTAAAAGTGTTTCTAAAACCTTTAACTGTTATCTAAATTTCCTTTTGAACTTGATAATGTTTTGGCTGATTAATCAGATTGACATTGCAATCTGAATTTATGAGAGAGAGAAAACTATAGGAGCTTAGAAGTCACAATACCATACGTATGCCATCAGAAGATATCTTTAGATTTTGATTTTAGAAAATGTATTTTAGGTAGCCAACAAAGATAACAGAGCGTCGTTAGTTGATAATAAACAAAACAAAGACTGTCAAGGCTGACTAATCAGAGATGATAAGCTTAATGTTAAAAAAATGGAGAGCACTAAAGAAGCACTGGCTGAGTATCTTATCTGTTGTTCAAAGGTTATTGTTCAATGTATTGCTAAGCAGGTACGTGGCGCCGAACGTTCACCAAAAATTCGCGAACAACTTTGACGTTACTCGTGGATATACACTTCAAGAGAAGTATGGAAAGTCTCTTTCTTGATCATTGGCTCAATGTTAGTTGTCTCTGTCCACCAAGTTGTTAGGTTCTTTTAGCTCTGCTCTGTTCAGGGGCTTATCACGTCATTCGATACGACCAAGCCCTGCCCGCGGGGGCGGGGAAATTATTTGTTCTGGCGCAGAGACAGTCGCAGTGATACCATCACTGGGGTTTCGCCCAGCGCACGCTTGTTGACTCTTTCGTACAGCTCATAACACGATATAAATCAGCTTTATAATCTTAGGTATGTTTCACTTAACTATGACAAACACTTGATAAACGGTAGAACTGTCTTGATGTTGAAAATGCTTAACATCAAATCTGACGCTGTATTATGTACAAAGACAATTCGATATTCATCCAACAGCTCTTTAAAAATAATCAACATTAAGATTTAAAGCAAAACTAAATAAGCATTGTTTAGTAAAATATGTTTGTAATAGCCCAGACTGCTATAAAGATAAAACGAAGTCATCTACGGTATCTTGTTACTGAGTAAAATCTTTAGGTTTAGTAGTGAGACACGTAAGACAGTTATATTTGTTTATTTAAGCCTTAACTACGATACGCCTAAATACAAGACATACGGTGCTAATTAAAAACAAAATCCAAAGTATATGTTGGTAGTTTTGTTTACTTGCATTGCCTCATGAAGTATAAAACACTTTATTTTCAGTTGTGTAGTCGTACGTGTTTCTTTCTTTTAGTTTTATTTCACAAAGTTTGAAACACTACTTTTGAATGAATCATTTTTTATGAATTTTGCAATAGGCGAACCTGTTAATTGGCAAAAGTAGTAAGTAGGATTTTATTATGTCAGTTTAATTGTTGAATGCATCTAGAAATAAAGTTTCAAGTAACAAGCTGAAAAAACACCCAATATTTATCAGATATAGAATCGCTATGTGTATGCATCTTTAAATATTCTTATCATTATACCAAAGGTTACATTTTCACTTTCTGGATTTTAACATGTAATAATTTTATAATAATATTATGATACTATTATACATAAGTTCTGCAAAACTATCGATCTTACTCCTGCCTAGTGTTTGGTTAATTCCATTCCTAAAGAAAACAGGAGTTTATTCCTTATATTCAGAATTTCTAGACTACATAAAGAGAATGAAAAGTTTGATTCTAAATCAATTATGTTTCTTAGTGGGTAAATCTACTGAATCACTATCTACCATCAGAAGTTCGTTCTTGCGAGTTGTTTAGTGTTGGATATTTGACATTTGGCACTAAGATATAACAAATGTCTCATCTCTTATTCAAACGATATATCTTCACCTTCTGATGTTTGACGCTGCCTATAAGTACGTTCAAAACGTCGTGAATCTCCATCTCTTTCTATTTGGTCCATATTGACTAAAGTCAATAAACAAAATCCTATCGTTTTAACTTAACCACTCCCTGTTACGTGTACAATGCTGGGTCGATCTTATGACTAAACAATAACAAGAAGTGGTATAAATCTTCAAAAATCAAATACTAATAACCATACATCATTAATGAATCGTTTAAAGCAATCGACTTCAAAGTATTTTCATGTGTCCCTACTAAATATGTTGTTGGCCCATACTAAAGATCTGCGCGTCTTAAAAACTTGAAGTGAGAAATAGGAACATATAAACAACAAAGGAAAACAATAATTATAGATAATTCACGGAAATAAGAAACTTTCAGGTTTGTTTGAAGTTAAGCACAAAGCTACACAATGGACTATCTGTTCTCTGCCCACCACAGGTATCGAAACCCGGTTTCTAGCGTTGGAAGTCCGCAGACATACCGCTGTGCCACTGGGGAACATTGTAAAGAGATTCAAGGTAAAAGTTGCTGGAATGTTTCTCAAACAACCATGCTTTTATCATGGTCAGTGAGAAGTAAGGTGTTCAAGGGTGGGATCACCTCAAAATCTTTATTTGTTGATAGATGAAAAGCAAACTACAAATGTTGTTTAGGAAAAAGCTTTCTGATAATTTAAAATTTTTGAGATAAAGTTTACGTTCAATTTATTACTCAACATTCACTTTTGAAATGACGGGAGAACAGGCATGAATGTTGATACTAAATCAAATATACAAGCAAGATATTCAACACTAAGTTGTTAGGAATTAATCACACTATCATTCACATTTCAAATTTCGACGTAACTTAAAGAAAAAAATATATAGATTTACTGTAGATTTATTGTTGAGTGGCTCTTGACATGACTGAAATGCTCAACAATTGATTTTCGCCGTGGGCAGTATAAGTAGCTCAACCCTTTGGTTCTGAGTGAAACCAAGAGTGCAACACAATTGACTTTTTTAAAGTCCAAGAAATAATTTAAATTGATAGATTAAGTTAAACTTTTCCCGTCACTTGGAACGGGTACTTTTGCTAGATTAACTTAAAATTTACCGTCACTGAGGACGGGTACTTTTGCTTGTATTCACTATAAAATTAACTGCTTAGTGGAGATTGTCGAGGAGAAATAATGGAAATTTGATTCAAAGAATATTTTTCTAAAGATGTTCTTCTTCTGTTATCTTTTGATTAAAAAAAAAGTCTCTAAAGAAAATGCTACGTAAAAATTAAAACCAAAGTATAGATTAACAAATTACATTTGTTTAAACATTTGTGGAATCCACCTTAGAGGTATTATTCTGAGAGTAAAGTCAGATTTTGATCCAACCGAACTTCACCGGAGAAGTCTGCTTAAAGGGAAATCAGTGATACTTGATGTCCTGCATTCTGGTTGTAATCTTGAAGTTCTATCACTAACTCACTTTCCAGGTTTTCACATGTAATAATAGTATGATACTACTGTACGTAAATACTATTATCACAGAATAGTGCTGAACCGACACCGGACTGGACACAATGTGTAATACACAAGAAAGAGAATCTTTATTAAAACTTTAAACAAAAACACAATGTCTATGCTTGCTTACGTTAGACAGTCGCTTTCTTTCAGATGTTTTCAACTTCATATCACCCACCAAACTAAATGACACGTTTCTATCTAAAACAAAACACCGCATTTACCTAGCGAAATTGTCATTCTCATTCCACATTGATGGGCCGTGAGCTCTAGATATTACATGTACAACCAGGGAAGAACATTATTGCCTTAACCTTAAGAATGGTCGCGCGTAGCAATGTTCTCCAAAGTTGGTAACATATATCACCTAACATTTAGAATGACAAACAAATAAAGGTAATTTGAAACAGATCAACTTAATAATTTTCTTAACCACGTGCTATATAAAAACTTGCTAAAGGAAGAAAGAAATATAATGTGTATCCCTTTACTTCTTTACAACAGAGTAGATTATGTAGAATATCAAAATAATATGCTTTTTCATGGTTGTATTTTCAGTGAGTATATTGTAATTAAGTATCTACAATTACACTCTTGACATTCTGCTTTCCCTTTTAGTGACGAGCCTTGAGGCCAAACAGATAATCGCAACTCTTATTTCAAGGTGAAAAGATATTTTGAAATTTCTAAAATTAATGTGATAAGAAATTATATCAGAAATTCTGATGTTATTCATACTTGTTTCGTATTTTGTGAAATTTCCAAATGAACAACTTTTACTTTAGGAAATATTCCCCTAAATTTTAAGTTAAACATTAAATAATCCTTTAGTTGCGCAATAGCGATGCCACATTACATTGTCTAATAAGTATGCTGCATCCAGCAATAATCTTTTTTTTTGTGTTGTTGAACA